TAGCTGATTTCCCAGTTTTTTAGTTGCCTGTTCAGTGCTTCAGCTGGGGCACCTCTCAAGAGGTGAGTGAAGGAAGGTTGTATTTCTGGGGTTTTTTTTTCATAGGAAATTAGGAAATCCCCATGTGCTCAGAAACCATTTTCGAGATGGTCACTTTGTAGCAGAGTTCAGGGGCATGTGGGACTTGTGAGAGGGGACTTCTTAGGGATTTCAGCTCCATCTGACATAGATGAACTGTTCTTCAGCCTTATGTCTGCATGAGTTCTTCCTGGTGAGAGCTTCAGAAAGGACATGTTGGGCATTTTGGTCCTCTGCTGAGGTTTTCAATTACCTCGTTGCTGCATACTTGCAATGACAGTCCCCATATTTGACTTCAGTCTTTCCCTTACTCTAGAATTAGCTATGTCTGACGTAGAGTAATTCTATGTCAGAATCCCTCTGTCTATACAGTTCTGCAACATCTCTGCAACCTTCATTTTGAGTAAAAGTATTAATGGCAACAACAAAACATCATCTTCCTTGTGACTTTCATGAAAGCTCTTGGATTCTGGCTTAATTCCTGCTTCTCAGCATGCTGACCAGAGGCCTCATAGAAGTATTATACATATTATTTTATCCCTATATATTTTGAATACGAGCTGTATCAGAGATATTAAACGGTGTTTTAACCATAATGGTCTATTAAATTTGTGCCTCTTAGAGTGTAAATTATTTCCATAATGGAGGGTGATTGCTCTGTTTTGTCAATCCCTCATCAATTCATGGACCCTGCAGGGTGTACGTGCTTACTCGTGTTTGAGTGATTTTGTATGCAACCCCCATTATTGTTTGTTCTTCAATAAACAGCCTCTAATGTCTAAAACTGTGTGTGAGCTGTTACTTAACAGCTAAAAAATTTGCCAGAACTGTTATTGCCCTCCTAGCAGAGAGCTTGTTGTCTGTGAATGCTCAGAGAGATCTTGAATCAGATTATTAACTCCTTTGCAATCAGTTTTCCTTCAGTGTTAATTGTGCTGCTAAATCCTAGGACGTTGTGTTTAAAAATAACTCAAAAGTCGGTGTCACATCACAGACACATTCTGATGCTTAAAAGAACAGATGCCTAAGTTGTGGGCACAACCTGCCTATAACAAGTCGAGTTTTGTGGTGAATTGTGTGTTTACATGCACAGGAGGGATGCTTGTTATGTTTGTACACACTCATCTCAGAACCACCTCCCTTCATACCTTCTCCTTGCCCCCTCTAATACACGATCATTGTGTATCATGGCAGGAGGTCCTAGGAGTTATTGGCAGGTATTCGATGTATCAGACAAGCCTTTACAACGCAACAAAAGGCCCTGCTTGGTGGCTCTGAGTCTTTTTTTTTTTTTTTTTAATTCAGGTTGTAGAGTTTTACAAATGGAAAAATATTAGTCTTGTTCTTCCCCCACAGATGTGCACACATAGCTCTACTTAAGATGTTTGGTATTTGGATTAAATATTAGCTCCCTTTTGTTCACAGACTGTGCAAGCAGCTTGTAAATTATGGAGTAAAAATGAGGGGCTTGTAACTACCAGTAACAAGTAATGCCTGTGCATCCTGGATTTAAGCACTAAAAGTGGTGCTGATTTAACATTTCTGAGCTTGCAATAAGAGGTGTAAGGGCAGAGCTGGCTTTTTGCCTTTGAAGTGTGTACAAGTCTTTCTCTCACAGTTAGCAGTGTCTTTGTTGAAGTGAATGCCAATGATGGTTCTACATCTCAATAAAATGATGATACCAGGTTATAGATAAGACCTTTCACCCTGCAGAATCCTGAGTTGCTTTTCTAAACCCCCGTAATTCCTTAATCCTGCAAATACAACGATATTGACAGAAAATTGTGGTAAGGAGGAGGTTTAAGTCAAGGTTAAAGGAACAGAAAAATGCTGTGAGCTCCCTGCTGTCCACAGGAACATCTGTGCAATCTTAAATGAAAGGCTGGCTTTGTGGTATCAGAAATCGAGAGAGCTTTTCTCTTTTGTGGCACTCACCCAGGGCAGCCAGCAAAGAGGTTTTATTCTTGTCTGCGATTCTCCCATCAGAAGTAAAGATAATAACGCTCCTTATTGTGCCCCATCTATTTGCAGAACAAGTTCTGTGGAGTGCAGGAGGTCTTTTTTTAAGTCCAGGTCTATACTGCAAAGTTGTGTTGGTGTCACTGCACGAGAGCTGAGGTTGTGAAAAATTAATCCTCCCTTGCAGAAATCATGTTGTTAAAGTTCCTTCTGGCAAGGATGCTAACCTCCTGGCTTTCCATCCTAGTTCTGCTATGAAAATGAATGTTCATTTGCAAACATGAAGGAAAACCATTAGCATTCTTTCAAATCAAAATGTAATCACATCTTCCTGATTTCAAAGCCCTTCCCTCTCTGCAAATCTCATTAATTATCCCAGACAGGTGTTTTTCAACAAAAGCTCCTTCTTGCGTTCTCTCTTCTCCTTCAGTCTCCTACTTGAGCTAATGAAGCTTCAGCGATGTTTGTGGAACAATGGAGCAATTTATGTAACTGCAGGTTGGAGAGAACAAATAAGGAACGGTAATTGAGGAGGGGCCAGAGGAGAGGCTGCCGGAGCAAAGTTCCTCTGTCTGTGTAAAGAGATCTCTCATTACTGATGATTAGGGAGGAAGCATCACAGAGTAGCTGTGCTGAAAAAAAACCCTGTTCTTTGATAGTTTATTGATATGCAGATGCTGCTTTATGAAAGGACCACTGACATCGTTAGGTCCTCGAGTTAATTGGAGTGTAGGTTTGGGTTAAGGGAGGGGAACTGGCATTACCTCCACACAGGTCCTGTGGGAAGTCACTGATTTAAAAAACTCCTGGGCATGACTTACAGCTGTGTGAAAGCTGTTTACCAACACCTTGTGCATAAATTGGATGATTCTCTCTGGGATGAGCTGGGCTTCTTTTCTGTGTGGAAATGTGCTATGGAATTGAAGACTTTGTGCTTCCAGAAATATTTGATGCATATTTATAATTACAGCAGGTCTTCTTTCCTGGTTGTTGTAAACAGGTCCTGCCTGCTCAGTTTATGCCTAGACAATAGGAAAGAGGTATTTTTTCTAGCAGGTATGGTAATACAAATTAAACACAGGTGTTTTGCTGGGCTGGTTGACAAGCAAGCCCTGCCTTGTCCAGTGGTTATGCATTTTCACAGTTCTTATTTGATTATGCCTAGAAACTCCCTAGTCCTTGCCTCTTCCAAATTCATATAGACATTTATATTCTGAACACTAAAAATCAGCAGAATTCAAATACTCTTTCAAGCATATTTGAATTGGTCATCAGGTACTCCGAAACTTCTCGAATAGCTCAGAACGTTTTCAGTATGAAAACCAGGCTCAGGTGTGACCTCATGTCCAGGCATAAGTAGTTATTTTTCTTTTTTATTTGGCAAGGCAAGAGCTCTTATTTCAGGAGGGAATGTAAGTATCTTCCCTGCAAAATCCACCAATGAATAAAATTACTTTCAGCCAAGTGTAGATAATTCTGCCCATATGGAGGTCAGAGACCATGAAAATACTATGCAAAAGGCTCACAATGAAATATGTCCATTTCTTCACCCTTTGGGAAATGAAGGTGTAACAACTAGTACCTTTTTATCAGACTCAGCAGTCTAGTAGTCCCAACTCTCCTGCTGAACAAAGGAAGAGAACCACAGCTGGAAACTGGTGCCTTGGTCACGTTATAACTCTTTCATTTTTAGGCAGGCCAGTGGGTTGTGTAAGTCACAGAAAGAGTTAATGTGACCTTTCCAGATCTCAGTTGCGTGTATCATGCTCTGGAAAAGACCCCAGGTTGGAGAGAACTGAGTGATGTGCACATCCCACACCCTCAGTGTGCTGTCGGGAACCTGCTAACCAGAGGTAAGAGACACTCGGCTGTTTCGGGAACTGGTTTTTTGTGAGATTCGTGGGCTTTAACTGCCTCCTCAGGCAAATCCATGGATGTTTTCCTTCCAGTTGGATTTTATCATTCCCAGCAACACCTTGTTTACCATAAAATATTCGGCAAGCTTCATATAAAAATATTTTATTAGGGTTTTCAGAAGGGAACAGACACAGGGAAAGGTATGAGCAGGCTCAACAGTACATCCTGTCAGTTCATAGTACATGTATTTCAAAGGGTATATTTTAACCCATATATAAACAGACTGACAGAACATGTCACAAGACTGAAATATATACACAAGACAAGACATTATTTCAATCCTGACTTCAGATGACAATACTGATCTACTTAACAAATATCACTGCGATACAGTTGGATGGCATTTTCTTTTTTACTCCTAGCAGCAGCCAAAAAGCAGTTTGCTTGCAACAGCTAGGTGTAATTGGCAATCACAACATCATAAGCTTTTGGGTACTACTTTACAGCATTTGGGCCTCTATTTGTAAAATGTTGTTTTCAGACTTATGATCTTGAGCTTTCCCTGTGCAATACTGTTAAAAATGAGCATTTGCCATGGCAACTAATTACATGTTTGTGTTACCACATCACTGAGCAGTGCCAACAGAGGTGGGCAGTGGAATTTGTCTGCTTTTCGGTCGTACTCTGTGCCCAAAGAGGTTATAGAACACACGGGTGGGTGTGATGAAGCATGAGATGGGAAGCAGAGATAAAATGCCCCAAGATTTTACGTTAAAAACCCAAGGCTAGAGCCCCTGGTCTCCTGAATCTGGTGCTCTGTCTGTGGAATGAGTTGACTGCTTTGAAAAAAATTAAAACATAAAAGAATTGATGCTCATGTTGACTGATTATGTTGATCTCCATTCAAGTGATGTATTTTAAAAGGAAGAATGCAAGTGTTCTGAATCTTGCTAAAATTCCCCACTCCTTGGGGAGTGGAAGGGACATCTATTGCACCCCACGGAAGAGGGATCCAGATTATGGCTGCAGCTGCTGTAGCAAAAAGGATAAACGAGGTGTTTTCCTTCTGAGGTTCATGCTTTTCTTTATCACCACATACATGTGACAACTTAGGAAAAAACACTCCCATTTATGGGGAAAATCAGATCTGCAAACAGCTAAACTGTAATTTAGTGCCATAGTTTAAGGTCAGATATTATTTTGTCAGCTTTTATTTTCCAGTTTTCTTTATTTTAGCAAAATGCTGGTGCTGCTCAGCCTGACTAGGTGGCAGCAGAGCTCTTTTGTGGCATCTGCAAGTGGCGGACACAGACTTCACCGTCTGTGGTTAACGTCAAAAGGAAAAACCCCTTTACCCTCCTATGCTGTGGGATTTTGTTGATGATGAACCAGAATAAATTAATAGTGGTCTCGCTGCTGCCTTCCTCACCTGCCCCAGGCCACTGCTCCCAGCTCCCAGGTTCTTCCAAGGAAGGAAGCTGCATTCCTACACCAATACTGGAGCATTAAACCAAGACTCTCCTCATTCTCACACGGGGCTGGCTTCTCTTTCAGCAGTTCTGAAGGGCATCGCGAGGTTGAATCTTCAGCTTCTTGGGACAGAGGAGTTTAATAAAAGCCCTTCTGAAGCTGTAGTGGCAGAGAGGGTACAGGACAGGGTTGATGGCCGAGTTGATCCACAGCAGCCAAAAGGAAGTCTCGTACCAGTACTCAGAGATACAGTGGCCATGGCAGCCAGCACGGACGATCATCAGAAGAGTGTATGGTGCCCAGCAAATCCCAAAAATGCCCACGATGATTGCCAGGGATTTGGCCACTTTCTTGTCTCTAGAGAGCCTGAAGCGTTGAGTCATGCTCTGGGACATGATCTTCATCCTTTTCTCTAAGGACGGAGTGGACGCTGAATTTTTACAGCTCTTTTTGTTGCAACACTTGGGTTTCCCGGAGCTCTCCGAGCTTGTTGCCAGCAGGTCTTTGGCACCCAAGCTGGAAGTGGAGGCTGTTGCTTGAGCTTTGCTCTTAGAGAGGTCGGGGGTTTCAGCTGACTCCTTCTGCTCCCACTTACAGCATTTCAAGGAAAGCTTTGCTTCTGGGCTCGTTTCCATCTCTTCAGTGAAGGACTGGTTGTGCACTTCATGGAGAATGTCCAGACGTATCTTGGTGCGCTTCTGTATGTTCAGGTAAATGCTCAGGTTGAAAAACATTACGCTGATGAAAGGGGTGAAGAACTCCAGGGTAGAGGCTGTCATGAGAAAATACCAGTTGTAGAAAAACTCAGCGTAGCACTCCCCGGTGGGAATGATGCTGTGGCCCGATATGTACTCCCAGCTGATAATGGCAGGTCCGTACAGCAGGAATGCCAACACCCACACCATCACCATCTTCAGCACCGCTTGCTTGGTGTTGCCTTGCTGGGCTCTGTAAGCGACCTGCAACGGGAAAACCTTTTCTTAAGGATGGTCCCACACCCCAGCTGCTGGAGACTCCTCACAAATGAACTGGTAGCGTTCCTGGTAAAGTTGCTAGGCAATACCCCATCAGTCTAACAAACTCATATGCCTTAGGCAACGGGAGCAATTGCTAGATAAATCACACTCTTGCAGGGAAGATTTAGAACGCTCATTTTGCAGCTCCGAAATGTGGTGTCTGCTTGGTGGAAATGTACTGACTTGGCTGGAGCCTGGCACTCACCTGCACCCACCACTTGCCTGAGCTGTCCCTTGTAACCCCGGAGGAGATGCATGCATCAAACTCCTGGATAAGGCATCCAGCTCTGGCTCCCTCTGAGACTTGCAGCTAATCTGTGTTGTATTTGGAGTCGGGAAAGGAGCAAACAGGAATGGATCAGACCTGCCTGTGGTGAACTGCTCGTTACCTCCTGTGATGGGATGAGCATTTTCATCTCCCCACACACCCAGAGACCTCAGGGCTGTGCCCTGCCAAAGCTGGCACTGCAATCTACTGCCTTGGTAGCCAGGGAGAAGCTGTGAGTCTGACTGCAATCCACTTGTTCGTCCTGGAGATAATAAGCCCCTGCAAGTTAGTAATAGGTCTGCTTGCCTCGCTGGCTCCCTTGTACACTACTATCCTGTCACAGGGAAGGGAACACCTGCACAATGGGGTCTGAGGCTTAAGTGATTTAATTACGCCAGGAATACTAATCTGAAACCACAGCTGAATTATGTATTTGTGGATAATTATTGCTTTCCATCACCAGGCTGAAAGATTCATAATTTCTGGAGGATTCAAAGAGCTTTTAATTATTGCAGAGAATCTGGAGGATAAGGCAGGAGGAGAGTTATTTCCCTCTCAGCTGCCATGACAGGACTCACCGCTCTTGTCACCGAGAGGAATCTGTCATAGCTAATTAGTACGATGTTGAAGACCGAAGAGGTGCAGAGCAGGTAATCAACTACCAGCCAGAGTTTGCAGAGGCTTCTCCCGAAAATCCATCTCCCCGTCAGCACATAGGGCACGTACAGCGGGATGCAGAAGGCACCTGCAACCGGAGGGGTCCGTTCCCGTTGAGAAGCGGGGTTCTGCAGCGTGGGGAGATGCCGCGCTGGGACCGCGGGACCCGCCGGGGGACGGCGGGAGGGGACCCCGGTACCGCGGGAGGGTGTCGGGGGGCAGGAGCGGGGCACGGCCGAGGGGACCCGGGGTGCCGGTGGGGCAGGAGAGTGCCGGGGTGCCGGGCAGGAGGAGCCCCGGGCGCCGCTGCCGGTACCGCCGCCAAGTTGCCGGCGGTCCGTGCCGGGCGCGGGGCCCCGCGGGGGGCGGCACTTTACCTACTAGGAAATCCGAGATGGCCAGGTTGAGGAGGAAGAAGTTGTTCTGGGTGCGCAGGCTGGAGTCCGCCACGAAGGCGAGCATCACCAGCGCGTTGCCGGCCACGGTGACGGCGATGAGCAGGGCCATGAGCGCGCCCAGAGCCGCCGTGCCCGCGGCCGCGAAGCGCCCGGCGGCGGCCGAGCCGTTCAGCGCCCCGCCGCTCTCCATGGCCCCGCCGCTCCGCCACCGCGCCGCCGCCGCGGGGCTGCCGCCACTCCCAGCCCCGCCCGCATCCCGCCCCCCGCCCCGCCGGCGAGACCGCCGCTCCGGCCCCCAGCGTCCCCGCGTACCCCACACCCCCGCCCAGAGCAGCCCCGAATCCCTTGGAGCGTCCCTGCATCCCTACAGAGCATCCCTGAATCCCCCCAAGCATCCCTGAGCATCCTTACGTTCTCCATTGACCTCTCAACGCGGGAGTGCCCCTGTATTGCCCCAGAGCATCCCTGAATCCCTTCACAGCAAACCTGAGCATCCTCCCATTCTCCCTTCCCCTCTCAATCCGGGAGCATCCTTGCTTTACCCTGGAGAGTCCCTGCATCCCTCCAGAGCATCCCTGAATCTCTCCAAAACATCCCCGAATCATCCAGACCGTTCTCTCCCATTCCCCCTTCCCCTCTCAGCCTGGGAGCATCACTGCATTACCTCAGAGTATCCTTGCCCCCACCCACAAATCATCTCTACATTCCTCCTTCCCCTCTCAGCTCAGGAGAACCCTTGAATTCTCCCAGAGCATCCTTGCAGTTTGCACAGCAACATTTCTGCATCTCCCCAGAGCATCCCCCAAGAGAGAGGCCATGAGGAGTGCTTATGGTTCCTGCCCTGGGGTCTGTGCCTTAATGAAGAGAAGTCAAGGCTTCACTTGCCTTTTAATCAGAGGCAGCCAGGAGGGCTCCCTGGGCAGGTGGAGCATGGAGGGGGATGCTTTTGCCTGTGCCTCTCCCAAGTGGCAGGAGGAAGATGCAGAACATGCCACTTGGTCACAAACCAAGGAGCCCTTGCTCCCAGCCCCAGCTCCGGGGAGGTGATTAATGGTCCCTCCTCCCTCCACTTGTTCAGCTCTTCATGGCTAAAGAGAATAACTTTTGTCTGAGTACTTGCTTTAGCTGGTGATGCTGCAGGATGAAACTACCTACAACTGTACAACCCCTGTTCATGGTCCCTGCTCCAGACCTCAGGAGTGGAAACATTGTCACGGGTGTCATGTCACTGGGAAGGATCAGCTCCACAATCAGCACCTCTGGAGATAGGCACAGGGGTGTGCAGAGCAGCAACACTGGGAACCAGAGAAGGATACTGGCTGGAACCCCTGGCCAAGCACTCTTCTTTCTGGAGAAGTCTGGTAAGTCGTGTGTGTCTGTGAAGAACAGATAAAAAAAGCAAAGCAAGAAAATTGTGCAAACCTAAAAACATGACCAAAGCTAATGCCCAGGAGTTTTGCCGCCTTCTGATTGCTCCAAAAGCTATTTTCACATCAGGAACTGCTACAGACTCGCTGACTTTCTCTTCAAACCCACTACCGCAGCCACTGTCTTGATAGCAGTGGCTGATCCTGCTGGGAGGAGGCTGAGAGGGCTCTCTTGAATCACAATAAATCATTTGCAGCCCGCAGAGCTGAGCAGTGGGAGCACTTCTCAGTGCTCCCCCAGGGGTGGCCTTTGTGCACCCACCAAAGGGTGGCCTCAACAAGGACCAGCCTGATCCTGTCCCTTAACGTGCCTGGCACTGGGACAACGTTCTGGCCCCGTGTTTGGAGCTGGGCTCTCTTTTCCCAGATCTGTGCAGGGCTCTGCAGCCGGGCAGACCTGCGGCTGCCTGGCACGGTTTGTCCCCTTCCTCAGGGAGACAAGTGTCCCCAAGCCACTCCACTCCACGGACGGCTCAGTCTCCGCTGCTGCCACGTCCCGACAGAGGATGTCACTGTGGGCTCGTGGGAGCCGCGGGTGGGAGAGCTGAGGATGCCGCGAAAAACTCCTGGTCAGTGGGAGAACGGCTTCGAGGAACCTCATGTGGGGCTTCAGCGCTGCTTTGAGGATAATCAGATTAAACAACGCACCTGGCTGCCTTCCCTGCAGGGCGGTGAACAGCCTGGCTGGGCAGCCACAGTGGAGAGGACCTGAATTTTATGCCTATCACCACAGATGTGATGGAGAAAGAGCTTTTTTTTGATAACACTCATGATGTTTAATGAACCCACACACTGCTTTCATTGTGTGACTGTTTGTGATCTGGTGTTATGTGTGATTTATAGCCACTCAGTCAAACATTAGTATTCACTGAAATGTTTACAAATTCCAAATTACTGTGTGCATGCTGCAGTGCTATCCCTAGGAGATGTCTGCTGTTTCTTAGCTGCCATTCATTATTCAGAGTCTTCACTGTCCAGATAGGAAGCAAAAACCGTCTTTCGTACCTAAGGTGATTTCTAAAATGATATAATGTAGTGTTGACAAATCACAATTAGTGTTTATCCAGAGTAAATTGCCAGGATTGTTCGATAACTAAGAGGTGACAGAGCTAGTCCTGAAGTTCCGCTCTTGCTTCAGCAGACAGGACAAACATATTTCTAATATATTTCAGGAAACGTGCTATCTTGGTAAGAAAACAAAGAAATCACCCAGCCTGAAGGGGTGGTTAGACCAGATCACATACAGACATGCAAGCAGATGGTATGATAGCTAATGTTTGGACCTGGCTTATGCATTACATATGCCATGTAGATGTGCCATGTGTTCATAAGTACTTATATATTTCATATAGGGTGCATTCATCACCCTGCAGTCAGGCCATGGTGTCCTCTTCTTGGTTAAGAGGCTGCCACAGACTCAGACCCTTAATCCTTGTGGGAGTACAGGGGCCAAAATTGGACCTTTCCAGAGGGTCAGAGCTGCAGTTCAGCTCCAAGCTCTCCTGAGCCTGATTTCTGTTTATTCCAAGGTTGTGCCTGAGAAACAGGGTCTGGGGGTGGCAGATCCAAGAATGGTTGAGGCTGGAGGGGACCTCTTGAGATATCCTAGACCAACTCCTCTGCTGAAGCAGGGTCAGATACAGCAGGTTGCCCGGGACTTTATCTGGTCGGGGTTTGAATATCTCCAGCAAAGAAGACTCCATAACTTCTCAGACAATCTGTTCCAGTCTACCCTTACAGTCAAAATGTCTTCTTTTGTCTGGTTCCTTTCTGTACTGAAATGTGCATGAGCTCCTCTGACAGGAAGCTGCCAAGAACCTGGATTCTGTGGGGAAATCGTAGGGGAAAAAAGCTTACAGATCAGTAGAAATAGATTCCAGTGCTGTTGGAGGGCTGCTAATTTTGAGTCCTAATCTTATAAATTGTTTCTTACGTGGTAAGCCAAATTCTACGTACAAATACCCTCGACTCCACGAGGCAGCAGATGGCTGAAAAATGTCAAAAATTTGCTGCCCCTCAACTCCAGGCACATCTATAATTCAGTGCTTGCAGTGATTTGCTTGGCTTCAGCTCAGGAATCATCTGGAGCTTCGACATCAGAAGTGCCTCTGCTGTGGGGCACAGATGTGTGGGCAAAGCAGCCCATCCACAGGTGAGCTCAGCTGCACTGGGGCACGTGCGTGTGCCTGACTGGGCATTGCTTTCACTCACTTCTTCAGGAAAAGGAGAGATGGGAGTTCCCATTTCTCCTGGAACAAATCAAATAAAACCAATAAATCAGGTATTAATGACTCGTAATCTGTAGGGACAGAAGTAACATCCCCTGGATGTTGATCAGCCTCCTTCCAACCTTCCGTGGAGGAATTTGCACTTTGATACAGGTTTAGACATGCATCATTGCAGTTACACAGGGAGGACAGCTGTGTCCTGAAATCAAGGGTTATGGAAATCGGAAGACACATTAGCATCAGTAACCCTTAATGGGTAAACAAGAGCTTTTTTTGACACTTTCCCTTTGTCCTGTGGCTGTCTCTCCATTTCCATGGAGGCAGAGATTCCACACTGAGGAGTTTGCCCTTCGAAGGGGCAGTGAGGACCTGCAGGGCTGAAGGCAGTGCAAGCTCCAAACCTCCAGACGAGGTGCTGTTATGGCTATGCACAAATCATAGTTTTTCCATTGCTTACTTCTGTCCCATGGAGCCAGTTTGCCTGTGAAACAAACTTTAAAGAAAGAGATGATTAAAAAACCTCTTTGTGTTCACATCTTTACTGATGAGGGTTGAAAGTGCTTTGGCATTCACACAAGGATCTGTCACTATGAAACCCGTCCCTTTGTTTTATTTCCTTTTCTTCTGCCTTTCATCACGGAAAATGTTTATTCTGTTGGGAAAATTCCCTTTTTTGAGATACCCTTGCAAGTTACCAGAACACGTGGGTGAGGGTGAGGGCAGATGGCAGAGAAAAGAGATTCCAGAGTGGTTGAGAGCAAAAGGAGCCCTTGAGCTCCTGCTTTGCCAGACCCCAAAGCTACAGCACAAACCCTCAGTATAAATATTTTACATGTAGCATCAGTGGGTAGGACATAGAAAATGCCAGGGGAGCATTTCTCATGCTGGAGATGCCTTTCCAGTGAAATGATACTCTTTGATATATATTTCTCTTTTAAAAACAAACTCAACAACAACTTGTCTGTCCAAACTTTGGGAGCTATTAGGACTGAAAACCAGCAGGGCAATCCAAACCTGGATGGGACATGAGGATATCAGTTTCTGGATGTGCTTCATCCACTGCTCAGCCAGGTGTCAAAACAACTTCTACTGGTGGCAGAATGTCTCTTCCTTACCATACTACCAGGGACATAACTGAGCAAGTCTGATTTCATATAAGGACAATGATGACTGGATCTTCTTAAAAATGCTGAGAAATACCCTGTGAACCAGCTTTCACAAAGGTAGGGAGAGCAGTAACATCTCCATTCTCATGTGGAGCATGTGCTGAGAGCTGCTCTGAGCAGCACCAGTGGCTGCAAAGCCACCACGTCCCTGAGAAGGACCACAAATACAGGAGGGGAATTGTCCCTGTCTGGGCACAGTGTGTGTTCAGAACCAGTCCTCTGCCTTTTCACTCCTTTCTTTTCCTTCCTTCTTTCCTCACCTTCCTTTCTTCTTTCTCTCTGTTCTGAGTTGTAACCTGCAAATACCGAAGTGTCCAAAAATGCATCCTTTACTACAGGGAGACTGTTCATAGTCAGACCTGTCCCAAACTGCTGTGACTGTTTTTGGATTCTTGGGAACTAAATCCTTAAAGTTACAAATCACCTTGTCATCCAAGAAAGTCACATTTCTATCCTTGTGCAAACCAACAGCAGTTTTGTGAGCAGGAAAATGCTGAGTTTAGTGACTCTGGGGGAGGAAAGCACCTCAGAGCAGGATGAGTAATGCCATTAGTAATGGAGTAACTGTCTGATCAAACACCTGACTCTTGTCAAGGCCA